TTTTAGATGGTTACTTATATGTGTTTTTTTTAGGTGGTCTGTTCCAGGGATGAATTATCAGAGATGTCCCAGACACTCTATAATTCAATACTGCAACCTCATTGACCACCTTGGGCCAGATGATGTAAGTTATTTATGTCCAATTTGTCTAACTTATATGAATAAACTTGTCTATCTCTGTCTGACTAAATGTATTCACCTTTATTGTAGTTTGTCTGGATGTCGTACGAGGGTCTAGACCACCAGCTCGACCCCAATGATTCTGCTGTGTGGACATCAAAAACACCCATAATTAGGTTCACTATGATGGAGATGCACCAAAGTGACCGGGTCAAGCTACATTTTGGGATGCATTAGGATATTCCAGATGCTCCGGTAGATTTGGGCCAGTGGTATTAAAAGCGGGTGGACTCACAGTGGAGTGTAAGTTCCTGGAAGGAGTTTGCGAAGGAGTTGTGTAAACACTGGAAGAGAAAAAGGCAGCACGTCTTGACCGACCATATTGTGCACGGAGCTAGGCCAAGTCTTCAATATATGACTTGGTTTAGGTCTGTCACGACATCTCAGTCATTTCTGTCTGAACCAATCTATTTGGTTGACCCAAGGCAACACGCTTCTTCATCCAACACACAACAACAATCCAATGCCCAAAATCAGCCTTACAATAACCCATACCAGCCTTACCATGACCCCCATCAACCACCATACCATGACCCGTACATGCCACCCACCCAGTCTCAGCCTCAACCACCATACCATTATAGCCCTGACAACTCATTTGACCCTACACCCTCCGCCTACCCCTCCACCTATAGCCCATACAACTCATTTGACCCTACCCCCTCCAACTACCCCTCAAACTATCTCCTATTTGACTACCACACCCCACAACAACCAACACACCTAGACCAACCCAATTCCATGTACACATTCGGACAACCATATCGTCTATACTCCACCCAACCTCCCCGACAATCCTTCGAAAACATGGGCATTCGGCTTGACTACGGCAGCGCCGTTGACAGTGGACCTCCTGGCTATTGGGGTCAAATGCTGCAAAATCTATCTGATACGTCGGAGCCGTCCCAACCATACCCTCCTCCGCAACTCAACACACAAATACCGGACACACCACAACAACCTCGTCGTAGACCTCGTTGCAACGCGCATCCCCCGCAATGTGGCACCGGTGGTCACTTGGATAGAGCCGGCCATTAATTTTTATTTTTTTCAATTGTAATTGTAATTTTCATTAGATTGTAAATTAATATAATTTATTATTTCTATTTTTTTTTTAACATTTCTATATTTAATATTTTCTTAATGTTATTTAAATTTCAATTAATTATGAAAAACAATAAAAACATAATTTAATAAAATATATTTATTAAAACCTAATTAAAATATTTATTAACATGTTTATAAATTTAATAACAATTATCATTCAAATATTTACACAAATAATTTATTAAAATATTTACATAAACTATAAAAAAAATTAAAATTAAATCATAATAAAAATTTAATTTGATTTAATAGAAATTCATTTTAGATTAATAATTACATTTTTAATTCATTTTAGATTTATTAAATTTTAAAAAAAAAAGACTGAAAAGCAAAACACTAAACTTATAACTGAGTCGCCAATGGAGCTGGCGAATTTCCTTTCCCTAACACAATGTCGCCATTGCAGGTGGCGAATCCACCTCTGTCCAAATTTTGAATTACACTAAGTCGTCATTTCAAATGGCGACCGGACGTTGAATTATAGCCACTTTGAAAAATTCTTAGAAAATGACATTTGTTTGGTAATTTTGAATGAATAATTGGTTATTTTAAAAAAAATTCCAACTTATGCACTTGTCTTTGGATAATGATTCAATGGGAGTTTAAAGTGATTCGTCAATGAACTACTCATAGTCTTCAAATTACTCGTGTAAAACTTATCTACCACCTTTTCAACATAGCTTTTTTAAGAGAGCTTTAATTTACTAGCACTCATATTTTTTAAATTTTCATACCAAAAATCTTTTTACTAACACCTAAGTCTTTTTATTTCAAACTTCTTTCTTAACATTAATATCTCATGATTTTGAATCCTCAAAATTATCATCATTTTAACATGTTTAATTATTCTCGACTAAAAATGATTATGTTTTTTAGAATTATTTCTATTTGAATCTAAATGTAAATTTATATTAAAAATGATTATCCAACTCACTTAAAATTTTTTTTAATCATAATGTGAATTACTTTATTTTTGAATAGTTCACTTTATTTTTAATTAAAGCTAATTTTAAATAATTAATTCACTAAAAATATATAAAAAAATTGTCTGTATAATAAGATGTCTTCGAGTCCGTGTCAGAGTCAGACACATGTACCGACATTTATAATTACATCTAATTAATTAATTTAAATAATTATTAGCGTCGGAGTCGTGTTTGAGGTCTACGTTCTTTATAGATTTTCACTGCATAATCAAACACAGACTATATTAGTTTAAAAAAAGTTCACTAAAATTTTTTTTTGTCTTTATCATAAAATATTTTTAAAAACTTATTTCTTTTTAAACATAAGAATTTTATAAAATATTGTAGTATATATATTATTAGTTTTTCAAAATATATTTAAAAAATATTAATTTTATGGATCATCGAGGACAAATGCGATTTTTCTGGTGAAACAATAAAAGTTGTAAATTATGATTTTGTTTTTTCATAGCATGTTTAAGATTGGTTGTTCACAACCTATTATTATTTAAAATGTATAAACTTAGGTATTTGTATTTTTTTTTATACTAGACAAAATAAAATGTATTTTTAATTACAATCAATTTTATAAAATTAATTAATGCAAATTAATAGAATTTTTGTCATAAGGATACACACTTAATATAATATTAGGTAGGTTTTTTATTATAAGTTAACTTAACACTTTAATTGATACTAAATTATTATGAAGTGTAGTTATTGTTTTATAAAAATAGAATATCTTAAGAAAAAGATGCTTTTTATAACTTTACATAATAACTACATGTCCAAATTATGTGTCCGAATTACCTTTAATTTTGAAAACTACACATTTTTATACAAAAAGAGACAATTAAAAAGAAATCGAGGGACTATCTTCATTTATAAAACATGTTTTGCAATTTTTATTTGTCTTTGAATCTAAGAATTTTATAAATTGTATTAGTTTTTCAAAATTATATTTAAAAAGTACTATTTATTTGAGATCTATTTTCGAGAATAATGTTAAAATATTTACAAATAATCGTTCACACAATTTTTCACTCCTTTTGTCTCACAATAAATAATTGATTTTTTTATTAAAGAACCCATTATTAAGTATGGCGATAAAGGGTGGAAATTTGACTCATCAAAAATTAAAATTAATTCAAACATGAATTTAGGTAATTATCTAAAAAAGAGCGGAAATAGATGCGGGTATGGACATTTTAAAACTTATCCCGTTCTCATATCTGCATAATATATATTTATATATTTTAATTTATATTATTATATAAAAATGTATATATCAATTTTAAAAAGTATATTATTATTAAACCATTACGTATTTAATATAATTTTTTGTATATTTTAACAATTAATTTTTTAATTTTTAAAAAAAATGATATGATATTTTATAATTAATCTATTTATTTTTAATATGATTAAAGAAATAGACAATTTAAAAAATTATATTTAAAAATAATATAATATTTTATAATTGATCTATTTATCTTTTAAAAATAGTTAAAGAAATGGACAGATCTTCGATAATAAAAAATATTTTATCTGTTCCAAAATAATTGTCGTATGTATTTTATAAAATTATTGGTCTCAAAATAAGTGTTCACATTTTAGTTTCTAATAAAATTCTAATATTTATTTTTTAATTATATTTTCTAACTAATACTTAATTTATTATTTTCTCAAATTTATGATAATTTGAAGACATTAATAATATTTAAAGATAGTTTAGTAAAAATATTATTTTTTTTATTTGTGTAAAATAATTTATGACAATTATTTTAGATGAAAGATGTATTTTTTTAATTTAAAAATATGGTAGTACTAATTTAGTAATAGGTGAGAGAAATATGGTATTTAATGAATACTTTGAAGAAAAAAAGGTAGTTTAGTGAAAAATTTGAAACCAGATGTAATAGTGAGAAGAGAATCTAAGATAAGCACATGGTGCTGTTGTTGTTACAGAAGAAGCATGATGATTAAGTGATGAAAAAGAGAAGAGAGAAGATGAGATAATAATGTTGCTGGAAATGTAGTTGAGAGTGAAATGAGACAATAATGAAAGGAAGAAAAAGAAAGATGTATAGTGTGAAGTGAAATCAGACATAGAAAAATGAGCAGAGAAAAACATTGAAATTCGAGCAATTGCATGAGAGAGAGAAATTGAAGGAGACTAATAGGAGAGAACCTGTTTTTAAGAACTTGGAATGTGTGTATCAATCTATAAAATTTAATAAAAGCTGTTTTTCTATGACAGTAAACATTTACATTTATTTATGTATTTATATTAGGTGGGTACAAGATTAATATTGATTCTCAATGCATAAAATTGAATGTACTAGTTTCTAGAATTAATTTTATTTGAAAATTATAATTTTAAATATAAATTAATTATTCAACTCACTTTTAAAAATTTATCCAAATCCAGACTAAAAGTTGAGTAGAAAAAATTGCTTTTTATGACTATTTATAAAATACATTTAAATTTTTTTTTTAGAAATATAAGAATTTTATAAATTTTTATAAAAATTTTATATAGTAAATTTTACAGTTTTACTATATAAATTTATATAATTTATAAATTTTACTATAAAAAATTGAGGATTTACTATATAAAAAGGATAGTAGTGGAGACTACTTCACATGGTCGAATAAACAGGGGATAATGCTATTTACTCCAGAATTGATCATGTCCTCTGTAACGTTGAATGACTGCAACAGAATGGTAATACGACGTTAACGAATATGAACCCCAGTATATCAGACCATGCCATGCTTGTGTTACATGACGGTATTGAAGCCCAGCGGCCTAAAAAACAGTTTCGATTTATAAACTGCTGTGCTGAAATGGATAACTTTCAGGAAATAGTCAAGAACAGTTGGGACATGCCGCTAGCAGGAAATCCAATGTTTGTTGTTTGGAAGAAATTGCAGAGGTTACAACCCCACATCGGGAAGTTGAGCAAACCGTTGGCTGAGATTCACAAGAAAATTGCTCGAGCTCGTAATGATTTGAACAAGGTGCATGATACTTTAATGACTGATAGATTGGATGCAGGAAAGATTCATATGGTTAAGAAATGTTCTGATAATCTTATTAGGCTACAAGAGCTGGATGATAGTATGGTGAGGCAACGAGCTAAAGTTGACTGGCTCCGGCTTAGTGACGATAACAATAAGTATTTTCATGCCTCTATTAAGATGCGACAACAGCTTAATAACATGACACAAATTCAAAGAATATATGGTACCTTTATTACAGACCAGCTAGGAATGGAAAATGAAGTGATCTCTTTCTACAGGAAGCTAATGGGTACAAAACTGAACTACCTTGAAGGCATTGATACAACAGCTATGAGAAATGGCAACCAATTGAACGCTGCGCAGAGGGATATGCCGACGGGGCATGTAACCGAAGAAGAAATCACTACAACTTTACAAGGCATTGGTAATGATAAGGCACTTGGTATTGATGGGTTTGAAGCGTATTTCTACAAGAAAGTCTGGAATATCATCAAAGTGGATGTCATAGCAGCTGTGCAGGAGTTCTTCAAGCATAACTGTTTGTACAGAGCGGCTAATTGTTCTGCTGTCACTCTTGTCCCGAAGCACAAGGGTGCGGAAAAAATTAAAGACTATCGACCTATTGCGTGCTGCAGTACCTTGTACAAAATTATTTCCAAGATCTTAGCTAACCGTCTCAGCAAAGTATAGGTACGATAATTGGTGCGAATCAAGCAGCATTTGTCAAAGGGCAGAGAATTCACAACCATATCTTACTCACGTATGAATTGATTAAGGGATACGAAATGAGAGGTATTTCCCCCGATATTTTATGCAAATGGATATTCAAAAAGCGTATGATACGGTTGATTGGAATGCGCTTGAAAAGATTTTGATTGAGGTGGGTTGCCCACAACAGTTCACTAAATGGGTGATGATTATGGTTTCCACTGTTTCGTATAGATTTAACGTCAACAGCCAGCTAACAGACATCCTGGAAGCGAAAATGGGGCTTAGACAAGGCGATCTGATATCACCTATGCTGTTTGTCATTGTTATGGAATGTTTGAACAGGTACTTATACAAGATGCAGGAGGATTGTGACTTCAATTTTCACCCTAAATGCGATAAATTGAAAACCACAAACCTATGCTTTGCGGACGACTTACTTATGTTTTCCAGAGGAGATAAGGTGTCAGTTGAAATGATGATGAATACTTATGGTAAGTTTTCGAAGGCCACCGATCTCGTAGTAAATCCGTAGAAGTGTCGAATTTACTGTGCTGGCATGGATGAACTGACTAAACAGAATATTATCAAAGCATCGGGGTTCCAAGAGGGTCGCCTGCCTTTTAAGTATCTGGGGGTGCCGACAACAGGTAAAAAACTCTCTATTCGCCATTATGCACCGTTAATTGACAAAATCGTGGGCAAGATAAAATATTGGACTGTGCGGTTATTGACATACGCGGGGAGACTTCAACTCATTAACTGTATTATGTTTGCGATGACTAATTATTGGCTCACTTGTTTTCCTTTCCCCAAAACTGTACTTCAAAGAATAGAATCAATTTTTCGCATTTTCCTCTGGACATGAGGGTTTGAAGGGAGCCGTAAAGCACCAGTAGCATGGAAACAGATTTGTAGCCCTCGTAGCCATGGCGGTTTAAACGTTGTTGACCTTGAAGTTTGGAATAAAACAACTATAATGAAGTTGCTTTGGAATTTAAGCGGAAAGGAAGATTCACTTTGGGTTAAGTGGGTACAAAAGTACTATCTCAAAAACAAAGATCTGATGGAGATCCAGTGTAAACAGAGTGTTTCCTGGATAATGAAAGGTATTCTCAATCTCAGGGAGGATTTTCAAAACATGAGCAATCAGGAATAACTCAAGACGGGGGGGGGGGGGGGGGGGGGGGGGGGGGTTAGAATGAGTAATCTGTATGCAAAATTACATGATTGTGGTTAGCCGGTGGAGTGGAGGAATTTGGTGTATGGTAACAACGCAAGACTGTGAGCTAATTTCATGTTGTGGCTTGCTTGCCATGAGAGATTAGCAACGAAAGATAGATTGCATAAGTACGGTATGATTGATGATACTAAGTGTTGTTTCTGCAAGAAAAATGAATCTTTAAACCATCTATTTTTTGAATGTGATCGCTTAAAGAGCGTTTGGACTGAGATCCTAAGATGAGCTCAAATTAACGATACCCTTGGAAATTGGCATAGCGAGCTGAAGTGGCTTATTCAACATACCAAAGGTAAAGGAGTCTGAGCTGCAGTCATAAAAATGGCGATTTCTGAAACCATCTATGAGATATGGCAGGCTCGGAATAATAGCATTTTTGGAGAAAAGTCGGAGATCACTACTATAGGAAGAAAAGTCATAGATACTTTGGTGTATAGAGGGTGGAACACTAAAAAACTTAGGAAGTATATAGCTATTTTAATGATAGAGAGGGGTTAGATTGATTGTTAGCTGCTTTTTTCCCTTTTGGTCCTAGGTTGTCTTGTTTGTAGCTGGATCCATGGGACCGCTTGTATCTATTGTCTTTTTTTGAGTAATATAGTTTTACTTTAAAAAAAAAACTCTTATATTTTCAAAATTACTATATGTAAAATTTAATTTTTGAAAGTAGTAATTTATAAGAATTTTACAAATTACTATATTTTATAATTAGTTTTTTAAATTTGAAGATTTATTTTCACGGGTGTGATGGAGTCAAATGTGATTTTTCTTAATAGAATAAAGGTTATAAAATATAATTTTGCTTTCACTTTTTGGATTGGTTGTTCACAACCTTTTATCTTATTTAAAATATTTATAAATTTTAAATATAAATTTATGATGTAAATATAAAATAAGTGTGCTTAAACATAGTTATTTTAACTTTAAATGTATTTTTAATACGGAAGAAAATAAAATATATTTTTAATGACAATTAGTTTTATAAAATTAATGTAATTTAAATTAATTTTTGTCATAATATAGTAGGATACACATTTTTCTATAGAAACAAATTTAATGACTTTCATTACTTACGAAAGATTTAATATAAGAAGATATCATATTAACAATACTACACCTAGTTTAAGAATTGACCGCCTTAGCTAACTTATGGGCAACCGACTAATGACGATTAATGAACTTCAAAGTTCGAAAAAATATGCAACAAACTTTTAATGGATGGAATAATAAGACTAAATTTTGACCTTTCTACATACTTAAAGTGAATAGTTTGAACAACTAGTTGGGAATCACTTTCGAATGTCACATTATTCAACGGTAAAGAAATAACATCTTGCAAAGTTTCTTTCAAAGCCACGACTTCTGCAATAATGATGGAGAAGGGACCAAGGTTCCAAGCCATACCTGCTGTAATAAATCTACCCAGATTATCTCGCACACACCACCCTGTATTAGTTGTCACTATTACAAAAAGCATTTTTATCTCGGCTAAAGAAGCGAGATAATGAAGGGCGACATGAAAGTTCGCCACTTATCACCTCGGTGGAATTAAAACCGATAGGTAAAGTTATATGCACATGGGTTCAAACCTAACAACAACATTTTTATTATTTTCAAAACTAGCTTATCTTATATTTGAGTTTATCTTGAAATCGAGGGGTAAGATTTTTTTTAATTGTTAAATTGTTTACCCAGAATATTATTTTGTTTACACAGAATATTAAAATAAAAATCAAATTCACTAGAGATCTAGATAAAAATCAAATTCCATGAAGATCTAAATTTTAGATCTTCGAATTACTGAATCTTGAGGAAGATCAAATGTTGGGTGCAAGATTCTTCTCTGCGAATCTTGCATGCTTGATTCTGAAGCAAAATAAAATAAGAGTTAGATAAATAAAATCAATATTCAAATATACGATTTTGTCCTCAAATAAATATTTAAGAAAATAAACCTTAAACCCAAGTAATTTTCTACTCTTGCAATCCATCTTAGAGAACTTTTCCAAATGTCTTTATGTTTTAAGCACTTCATGTTTCATATAGGTTAGATTTTTAATATTCAACATGCTTTCATAATGGATGTCCCTTAGGTTTCACGCGGATCATTAATGGCAGTAGGGCTGTCTTTAAGGGTGTGCAAAGCGGCCTACAACATAGGGCCTCACTTTTTTTGATTAAACTATGGTAAAAAGGGCTTTCATACACATTTTCCACGATTATTTTTACAGTTAAATATGGCCTCTTAAAAAAATTTCACTACTCAATCGAAGGCAACTTCAACTTCTCACACAAGGTCTCTCAAAAGTTTGAGACGACTCTGAATGGCAGATTCTTAGTCGTTGATAAACATTAAATGAACGTCAAAGATTTGTTTAAAGACGTTGAATATAGTAAAAAAAAACACTTAACTATCCCTCGGTCATGAAGAAAACCGAGGTGAATAAGCTGTTTTTTTTTTTTAAATTACATTGTTTACACAGAATATTAAAAATACATTATAAACTCTGTTTTCTAATGAAAAATTTTATTTTCAATGTCCAGGTCTCATACAAGATGCTAGAGATATGTTTCCCAATGATAATTTTTATTTTCTGCATTTGCAATCCATCCCAGAGATCTGTAGTAGCAACTCATGATCAAATGGACGGTGATGAATATTTCATCTCTTTGAGATGTTTATATATAAGTTAGTCTTAGGATAAAATCTATTTAACGATTATTTTTATACTAAAACATGATTATCAAACACCTTAATTTTATTATAAAATCGAGGTGAATAATTCTTTTTTTTTAATTACATTGTTTACACAAGATATAAAATAAATTGTTTACAACAAATCTTTGTTCTTATTACTGAATATCTTCGCTGATATCCATATTTAGTTGCATTCCCTTCTTTGTTCAAAGGTTAAGCTCTCTTCCTTGTTGGTTAAGCTTCATTCTTTGTGTAACTTGAAGTAAGAATGATTTTCTGCACTTGCAATCTATCAATTGAGTACTCTTCAAAGGCTAAGCTCCCTTGTTTAACTGAGGGTTATTCCAAAAATACAACAACGACAAGTTATGAACCCGAACCCAGAACTCAATATGAAAGAGAGGAATATTTTCAATTTGGACTCCCACTTTCACCTTTTCAATAATAAGAAGATGGTTGTCAAAGGTTCAAGGGACGCCTTTCAAATCCGCCTTCAGATCTAGATGATGAGAGAAATGGAACAGGAACAAACCCTCCTCCCCTTGTTTGATCGTAACACCCTTCATCGGCCGCCACATATTTGCCACTCTCACCTTCATTGACCTCACATGGATAGGCCTGTTACACAAGAATCTTCCCACTAAATACCACCGAAATTTAGATACCCCTGCTTTTTCCTTTTCCACATCGAAACAAAATTCTTCCTCTTCTAGCGATATGCCTTCGATGTTTAGACTTGCTATTGTTCAGTAATATAGTATATTAGACCGATAAACCAAGAAAACGATAGAAATCACACTTAATATAATATTATATTTGTTTTTTATTATAAATTATGTTAACATTTTAACTATATTAATATTATGAAATGTAATTATTGTTTCATAAAAATATAATATTTTATGAAAAATATGTTTTATAATCGTACATAATAGTTATGTGTCAGAAACACAAATTACTTGTATTTATTTATTTATAAAATATTTTTAAAAAGAAATTATTTGTCACTAAATATAATAATTTTATAAATTATTATACTATATA